TAGGAAACCTCGTCACGATTCCGTCTCCTCCAGCTCTTCCTCTGCCTCCTCTATATCTTCCCAATCTGGGTCCGAGTCCGAGTCCGACTCGGAAAAGAATGCTCATGACAGTGACGAAGATGACGACGAAGATGATGAAGACGAGGAAAGTGAAGAGGAGAAGTCTAGGAAGACAAGTTTGGGAGCTGGAGTCGAGAAGATAAGTCGCCACAAGTGAACGTGTCGGGCATAGAGCTTTGGCTGACGGATGCCCGTCGGTTTCATATCCGAGTTCCGAGTCCGTCCTCTCTTCATCCTTCTTCCTTCCCCCGTTTTGCTATTCAAGAAAAGATGTACGCAACCCATCCCAACTCTCGCACTTTCCCGCTTTATGTGTATATCAAGATGTTTTGCATATCATATACCACCTACCATCTGACGCATTCCTATTTATTTCTTGCTATCCTGCATAGTTTGCATTTCATTCCAACCTGCACGCCTGCACCTATCCCTCGTCATCAGCTACTACATAAATTGGTATCATAAAGGTCATTTTAACACCTAGATTATTCTGGACTGTACATATACATAAGTCAATTCCTCGCTATGGTTTTTACTTGTTCTAACATTCAGCATCTCTTCTCTTTGTTTAAATCTTTCTGTACGCGTTTTTTTGGGGCTCCAGTGCTTTGCATCTCACGTTTTTTCTTTTAATCATTTTTGGATTCTCTAGTAAAATGTCTTCCTTTTGAAGGCAATTCCCCAGTGAAACATCTGCATATATCCACTGACAGATATCAAGTGTTCAGTTACAAATAAACTTAATCCTTTCCTAGATTAGTGAACTTCAAGTTTACTCTATTACAACAGAAACATTAACTACGCGGCTCGGGTCGCAGCCTACTGCGCCACGTTACGCGGGATAGAAATGCGGGGAAATTAACAGCGCTTGCTTGTTACCTGTACATGCTACGCACTTGAGCCGAGATCGAGCTGAGCCGCAGTATTTGCTAGCCAGGATCTTTCGTCCTTAGGTCTTGCGCCTATTTTACTAGTGACCAGACGTAGTGGCTAGCGATGGGCAAACCTTCAACATAGATCGGTCCTCCATTTTCACCGCGAGAGAGAAAGATCTCATGAGGACATTGTCTATATCATCCATCATCCATCATCATGCACATTGCAGCGAGGTATGATGGTCTGCGGTTCGATGATCCGATCCATAGCTATGGCTATGGGAATGGGGATAGGAATGGAAGGAGTGGCGAGAATGGAAGGAAAGGGGGGGACGAAGAACGCGAAGAAGTCTAGACTGGAGAGAGAATGACTGAATATGAGTATTTTATGCACCTGTCGAGTCGTGTGCCGTCGAAGGTCAAAGTAATCTAAGTAGATAACAGATATGAAAAGGCAGGACTTCTGACACCCCTTCATCTGTGACTGTAAGATTATGCAATACCGGATCCAGAGAGGCCTAGTCACTTAAGCTTCGGGTCGCAACAGCAGACCGAGTAAGGCTGTACATTTCGTCGATCGAATATGAAGTTTTGTAGTACCAGCGCAGCAATTGAAAAGGGAGACATTCAATGAGTCATTAATAGCTTTATTGACTCGTCCAGCGATATTTCACAGGTGAATTTGTCTGGTACAAGTTGACATTTCTTTCTCCTAGTGGAATCAGCTAGCGGTATATGGTGATAGGATTCTGCTTGGCACAGCTGCGGACACTGGAATAAGAAAAGAAAAATCTTGGCCAAAGTTAAAATAGAAGTTCGGAGCGAAAAACCGGAAAACTAAACATACCTTCCGACTCCCTAGTCCGAGATCCAGTCTAGGTCTCCTTGACTTCTGGTACGCTATTCTTCCAATGTACTCCCGCTGCTTGTGCAGCCTCGATCACAATCTGACGCACCGCTTTGACCTCCGCGAGGGTTGCACCATTCCGACGCGCGCCATCAAGATGCCAGTTAATTTGACGAGGAGTATCGGCCGTGATGAGCGAGGCGATAAGTACATAGGACGTCTCAAGAGGAGAAAGAATGTCGTTGAAACCGTAAGTGAACCCATATCCGATCGCGTTTGAGAAGAAGCCTGTAGTAGAATTTGGCATGGTAAACTCGAGGAGATCGAGAGGTTCAAACGGATTTGACGAACCAAGATCTGGATATACGGTATCCAAGAGATTTTGAACCGTGTCCGCGGTATCGCCGTAAGTATTGCGGAAGAAAACACGACCGCGTTCTGCATTATCTTCCATAGAAGTGTAGACCTTTCTGTAGAGGAGTGGTTTTCAAGTCGCACATCGATTGTAGAACGCGAATCACCGAACCTCATCGGCTTTGTATCTACGAGATCAGGAGGCGTCACGTCGTGTAGAGCAATAATACTGTTAATTGACTTGAGAAGGAAGAGTCTCAAACGACAAGCAAGTCAGATAGGCAGAACTCACTTTCGAGTATCCACTGGTCAATCCAGCCTTGAATACAGCCTCTCGGAATTTTCGGGCGAGAAGCAACCTTTTCTCATGATTCTGGTCTGTCTCAGCTAACACGTGTTTGAAGAGTTTCGCGACAGCCTGAGGTTCATTACTCGCACTGAAGGAAACGGCAGTGAGAATATACCAGGGGTTTTGAGCTAGGGATAGTGAGCATTACTGAGACGATCAGGCTCGAGGATCTGCGACTCACGATTGCTACTTGCATTTTCAAAAATGGATTTTAAACGCGTGAAGAGCTCAGCCCTGGGTTTGAATGCCATGATAGAGTATGAAAATTGGACTATGGGGAGATATGCTCTTCAAGCACTGGTCTCGTCACTTCTACACGTGTAAACCTGCTGAATGACACGACTGGATAGATAGGTTGATACGGCTATGAGAAATTAAGAGCTAGATCGCAGATATGAGTGAATCGAAGCTTCGATATTCAATCCTGGTTGAGAAGGGTTCGGCTGGGACTTGACCACGTGCAAACTTCCAACCAGCACACTGAATGTAGATGCGGGAGGATGGGAGATGATGTATGCGGGGCTGCTCACCGCGTCGGTGGGAGTCGGGGAAGAGGATGGTTGCTCAGGGCGTCTATTATCTAAATGGAAGCCCAGACACCGCCGAATCTTATCCTATTCTATGTCAAGACTTCTATGATGGCAGTCCTTGCCTGCTCCTTCCTCTTGGTGCTGTTGAATGGTAGCGTTAAGTCTCTGAAACTTGGTGGTGCAGCTGAGGTTAAGATAAATACGGCGGGAGGAATTGTTGGGCGTCTAATCAGACGCCTTATGGGTCCCCTCTCATTCCCAACTCCCACCACCGCGGCGACTTCAGCATCCATTCGATACGACAATGCCTCAAGCGGATGCATCTACGGGTGGGAGGGTGCACGGATCCAAGGCCTAGTCATTTGGAAATTAGAATTCAACACTAATTCTTCGACTCTCATGTCATTTATCTTTGATATAGACTTCCGACCTATCAGTTCACTCTCCAGGTGTTTCTTTTTCTCAATCGGCGTCCGCAAATGTCGCCGATGGTGCGACAATTTCAAGTACTTACTTGAATGTTATGAGTATCCAATCAATCTTGTATACTCTAACCGCATCGGAATCCCAATTGATTCTCCACACATCAAACGGATATGTTTTGATTTCTTCACAAGTGAAACCGAGCTACAGAAGAAACTTTTTACATTCTCCTTCGACGACGAAATCAGCTAGCGGTATATGGCGATACAATCTCCTTGGCACAGAATAAGAAGAAAACCTTGGCGCGAGTTAAAATAGATGTTCGGAGAAAACCTTCCCTCTCTCGAGTTAGGTTTCCTTGACCTCCGGTACAGTGTTCTTCCAATGGACACCCGCTGCCTGTGCGGCCTCGATTACAATCTGTCGCACCGCCTTTACTTCCGCGAGGGTTGCACCATTCCGGCGAGCGCCATCGAGGTGCCAGTTAATCTGACGAGGAGTGTCGGTCGTAATGAGCGAGGCAATAAGTACATAGGAAGTCTCCAGGGGCGAAAGAATCTCGGTGAAACCGTAGACAAACCCATAGGCGACAGTATTTGAGAAGAAGCCTGTAGTAAACTGGCTCGAGGAGGTCGAGAGGTTAAAAAGAACTGATAGACAAACCGAGATCTGGATATACGGTATCCAAGAGATTTTGAACAGTGTCTGCGGTCTCACCGTAAGTATTACGGAAAAGAACGCGGCCGTGTTTTTCTTGATCTTCCATGGGTGTATAGACATTCCTGCGAAGGGGAAGGAAAATGTTCAAAAACCATCAAAGAACAAGAACAGAAAAGAATCGCCGAACCTAATTGGCTTTGTATCTATGAGATCAACAGGGGTCACTTCGTGTAGAGCAATGGTGCTATTGATTGCCTTGAGAAGAAGAAGAAGGAAAAGTATCAGATCTATCGAAAATAGACGCGAATAGAGTAGGCAGAGCAGCGCTTACTTTCGAATATCCGCAGGTCATTCCAGCCTTGAGAATGGCATCTCGGAATTTGCGAGCAAGAAGCAGCCTTTCTTCGTGGTTATCACCAGTCTGCGTTAGAACGTATTTGAAGAGTTCGGCGACAGCCTGAGGTTCATTACCCGCACAAAAGGAGACGGCGGCGAGGATGTACCAGGGATTCTGGGCTACGATTGCAAATTGTGGCGGAGCTACTGGATTTGAGGATTGCGCGACTTACGATTGCTACTTGCTTGTTCAAAGATGGATTTTAAATGCGCGAAGAGCTCGACTTTGGGCTGGAAGGTCATGGTAGAGGTATGGAAAACGAAAGCGAATTGTGGGGGAACTAGCGTTCAAATACTGATCTTTTCCACTTTGACATGTGTGGAATCCTTGACTGATACGTACGAGTGGCTACGCAGAAGTTGTTTGTTGGCAGATGGCCGTCTGCGCGGCCAGAGCTGGAATTTCAGCATGTACATCGGATATCGGTGTTGTGGTTTACGGGATGATGGAAATAGACGCTCACTGTCAGCGTTATCACTCAGCCGCGGAGGATTGCAAAGTATTACCGACCATAGCTCAGTTGGAAGAGCACAAGACTGTAATGGAAGCTCTCATCTTGGGGTCGCCTGTTCGAACCAGGCTGGTCGGAATACATGCTTTGATTTCTTTTTTTTTAGATCAATCTTGGACCCTCCGTTCGTCATAGAAATACATTCATAATATTCCCTTACTCTTCATCGGCAGGTTCAGCAGCAGCAGGCTCAGCATCATCTTCTTTCGCAGGCTCCTCCTCGTCCTCCGTAGGTGCATTCTTACTGTTCAACACAGTTCCGTTGATCCTGTATGAGACACATTTTCATAAGCCGTCGTCCGAGTGATGGAAAAACACGCACGTCAACATAACCTGGACTTTCTCCTTAGTCCCGGTATCGTTCTCGAGCTCCACGGTAAGCCTCTTGCTCCCTTTCCACCCATAACTACCGGTGTTGAATGAACTGGGTAGGAGGGTAACGGAGCCGAGGTGGCCTGGATCGGCTGATGTGGCCGGAACAGTTTCGTCGTCGGCAGTACTTGGAGGAGTATGGGTGACGTTAACGTGCAGCGGAAGAGCTTTGGATTTGAATTGGGAGGCAGGGAGAACCTTGGCGAGTTATGTTCATCAGCGACGTTCGCCTCTGAGTAGCTATAGACATACTTTTGCAGGACTCTTCTTGCTACCTGCGCCTCCCTTTCTACTCTTAGCAGGAGTAGATATTTCACCGGTCTTTGCCGATTTTGAAGAACGGGTGGCACGACCAGAGCCAGAGTCGTCAGCAGAGCGTTTTGTTCCAACTATGAACGAGATATCATTGATTTCTGAATCACAGAATGTATAAAAAGAAAGAAGACTTGCCCATTTTCAAAAAACTGAGGATAGTAGTGGTTGAAGAATAATAACTCTCACGACGACGCCTCAAAAAGACCCTCACAACCAAAACTCTATGACGTCACGCGACAACCGCGTATATTGTACGCTTTGCAAAACTCTACAAATCAAAATCAAAGTCCGAGTCTGAATCTTCCCCAGATCGTATATTCTTTTTCGTTCTCCCATTCAATGAAGTCCCTGCAGACTTCATTCGCGATGACCGATCTCGTTCCTCTTCATCTTCTTCATCCGAGCTACCTCCTGTCTCATCTTGCTGCTGTGCTGGACGTCGCTCTGGTGGATGCAGAGCACCAGTCACTAGTAAAAATGCTTCCAGCTCTATAGAAAGGAATGAAAAAAGTCATCATAAAAATTTATTCAACTTTTTTTACCTTCAATCCGTCTTTCCCGATCTGCACCCCAGGCTACAACCTGATTTCGTATCTCACCCTTTTTATAAACAATAAACATTGGTATCCTGCTGTCTGGCAGGTTGGGTATACACTTGTCACCCACGATGGAGACAAACTTGGAACGGGGGTATCGAGTAGCGAGAGTTTTAACGTGTTCGAATGTACGATCGCTTCGGGGGATGCTACTGCAATGTTGGGGCGTATTTCCCAATAGCAGTAAGCGTAGTACTTACCCGTCTTTATATAAGAGACAAACCACAGCTGTGCCCTGTTCTTGTTCATCCCCTTCTTCATTAATCTTACTGGCCTCGGTGACTTCTCTCGTATAATCATCCCTTCCAATGGGATACACTCTTCCAAATCGAGATTTCTTCTCCGTTGCTTTTTCTTCTGCGAGTCTTTGCCTTCGATAAGCAGCAATCATTCGTTCGGTCTCATCGTCTGGTGCATCCTGACTGATTTCTTGTAACTCTGAAGGTGTAAAATCGTTTAGAATATCGCTGAATGTAGGAGAAGGTGGCGGAGACGGTGAAGGAGGTGTAGGCTCCCGAGGAGGAATAATTCCATGTTTTCGTAGGGCGTCGTTACTGAGAATTCCAAAGTTAGAGTAACAAGTAAGATAATTAGAATCACGTACAATTCGGTATCTTCGTCGATATTCACGGCCATTGCGAGAATCGATTAGCTGTTAGATCCTTTATAAGAGCTTTGTTAAACTGTGCTTTGCTGCGAAATGTCAGTGTGAGCGGCGCGGAGATGGCGGTGCGGAGGGACGCCCGGAATTCACGCCATCATCGTGACTCCTTCAATTCTCAACCTCTACCGTACCCAATGACTGTGGATCCCCCAACTACTCCATTTCTACCTCGAAAATACCAAGAAGAAATCTTTGCCCAAGCCCAAAAGGCAAACATCATTGCCGCTCTCGACACCGGTAGTGGCAAAACCTTCATCAGCACCTTACTCGTCAAATGGGTGGCAGCCCAGAACACCGCTGGCAAAAAGATTTTCTTCTTCGTCCCCAAAGTCCCTCTCGTCGAACAACAAGGCGATTTCATCGCCAGGCATTCAGCCTTGCGCGTCTTGAAACTTCACGGATCATCCAACATCGATATTACAGATCGAAACGGTTGGAAGCTCAAGTTTGCACAGCACGATGTGTTCATCATGACCGGTTCGTCCTTTATGTCCATATTGAATCTCAAGTGCCAGGTCGAACTCGATTTCTCACTTGCGGCGGAAAGTAGTGAAGCCATGGAACGGAGAGATGACTCTTCTTTTCATGTTTTCACTATTCATCGCTCTGCGTGATGGGCATCCGGTTGATCCTGGCTCATTGACCTGAAATTATGTGTAGCTCAAATTTTTCTCAATTTTTTGACTCATTCTATTCTGAAGATGCAAGAGGTCTGCGCCGGGTCACATTTACCAACTTTTGTTCTAAGCCTCCTTGCTATAGGTCTCCCTCATGGTGTTTGACGAGTGCCACCATGCACGTAAGAAACATCCCTACGCGATTGTCATGGAAGAATACAGGCAGTGTCCGGCCGAGAACCGACCGAAAGTTTTTGGGATGACAGCATCTCCAATCTGGAATGCGAAGAATCCCACAAAGTCGTTGGAAGATTTGGAAGCAACTCTCGATGCCAAAGTCATTGGTGTCCGTGAGCATTTAGAGGAGCTTTCCGAGAACGCTCCCAAGCCTACCGAGGTACGTGTTGGTGCCTCTTGTTTGCCCAAGCCCCCTTCTTGACCCGCTGGTACCCAGGTGATGAAACTCTTTCCGGCACCTCCTGAGGAATATAATTATCCCTCGCCTTTATTATGGGAGGCTCTCAGCGTCTTTGACCTCTTCAGACCTGCACAGCTCGAGAACAGTCCCTGGCCAGACATTGAACGACGATATTTCGTAACTCTCAACAATCTCGGACCCTACGCAGGTTCATTATACCTCTTCACGGAAATGAGCCACCTCATGACTCAATTATTTGCGAAATACCGCGGCGCAGACGAAATAGATTCGAGTGATATCGATATTGTCGTCCCCCGAAACCCTTCGTCGCCTACTGAGATACCTACAGAGTTTTTCGATATCGCCGACGTTCTGGTCGACTATCAGTCGTATTTCGTTTCCCGGTCGCTCGATAGTTCTTTGACATTGCCGGTTTCTGTTGCTCTGGAGTGGTGCTCGCCCAAGGTTCGGACACTCGTCTGGATACTGCTCGAACATCATTCGCCCACGTTTCAGGGCATTGTTTTTGTTGAGCAGAGACAGATTGCAGCCTGTTTGGCGAGACTGCTTCCTCATATCCCTGTGTTGAATGGCTTGGTGAAATGCGAAGCTTTGGTTGGAGCAGTCAACTCTTCCGAAGGGCTGCCTCGGGACATTGAGCTGCGATCTCAAGATCAGATCGTTAGAGCGTTTCGTCAAAAGGAGATTAATTTGAGTAAGTGTAGTTAGTTTAACCATTCGAAATATCCCTTTAATGGGCAAACGTTCGTTCATAGTTATCGCCACCTCGGTTGCGGAAGAAGGGCTCGATTTTCCGGTGAGAATCAGTGGTTGCCGTTTCTTCTTGTTGTTTATGCATTCATTCATTCTTAGGCATGCGACGTCGTCATCCGCTTCGACTCACTGGATCACCTTGTCGGTTATGTGCAATCTCGAGGGCGTGCGCGTAACAAGTCGTCTAATTTCATCATTATGGTCCAGCAAGATAATCGCGAAGAGCAAGAAAAATACCAGAAATTCATGGCCGCCGAACCGAAGCTCCGAGAAGCTTATCAGTTGGCTCAACTTAATATCGAGCGCGCTGAAGACAAGATGGAGGAAGGCGAAGAAAGAGAAGAGGAGGATATAAGTCTTGTCGATCTCCAAGATAGAGAGCGTTATACCGTCCCGTCTACTTCAGCGTTTGTAACTTATGACAACGCTATATCCTTGATCGGTCACCTCTGTTCTCTCATCCCCCGCGATCTCTATACCGCCCAGCTCGTACCAGTATACACGGGCGACTTTCAGTCCACTTTATACCTCCCCGCCTCACTCCCACTTCCACCTACGGATCTCGTCTACATAGGCCCGAAAAAGAGCACCAAGAAGGAATCCAAACGCGCTGTGTCCTTCCTTGCTGTTAAGCGCCTTCACCAGCTGGATGTTTTTGATGATTATCTGCTCCCCGCCGGGAGTGGGGGTACCAAAGACCTCCAGGACGCTGAAGGTAAAGCGATTCCGGATATGAGTCACGTCTCGGCTATGATCAATGTCGATGTGAGGGATCCTTGGATCATCTCTTCCGATAGGCTCTGGGTACATCCTATTGTGGTTGATGGAGAGGTTGTGGCGGGTTTGGTGACTGGAACTCAGCTTGTGCCCGTGAACATTGTTTACCGAGGAAACACCGTGCAGACGCTACCTGGACGTCTGCTTGAATCTGACCCTGAGTATGAGGAGCAGCGTATTAGGCTGATGGAAGATTTTACGAAGCTAGGGATATTATTCCGGATCAGTGCCTCTCCGTACGAAGGCCATCCGAGCATGTTTATCGTGCCGCTGACTTTGTCGATGGAGGTGGATTTTGACGCGATGGAGAAACTTGTCTTCCAGCCGCGCGGAATTTCGGACTGGTCAAGTATCGGAGTTGAACACTATGAGGGTTTGCTCGTCCGCAATGCCAATCTGATGAATCGAGTCTGGCTCTTACGTCGGATTCGCGATGACCTGACTCCAATGTCGATTATGACTGTCACAGCCGAAGGGAAAGAACAGACGTACCGGGACTACTATGCGGAGTGGTGGTCTCGTAAAAACTGGACGGCTTATGTTCC